CCACACCCACACCCACCCCCACCCCCCCCCCCACACCCACACCCACCCCCACCCACACCCACACCCACACCCACACCCTATATACGGATGAAGGCGGTGGAGAAGAGATGATCAAGGAATTGGAAGGCATCTTCCCATCATATGAAGAAGATCCCAAAGATATCCTGTATTCCGAGGTAGAAGAAGCAATCCGGACACTAAAATCCAACAAAAGTCCGGGTTCAGACGGTATCACAGCTGAGATGATCCAAGCTGGAGGTGAACAGCTTGCGCACGAAATCCACAAGCTATGCAACAAAGCATGGCACGAGGGAACAATACCAGAAGAATGGGGGAAATCTATCCTGGTGCCAATACCAAAAAAAGGAGATCTCAGCGAATATGCAAACTACCGAACAATCTCACTCATAAGCCATACAGGTAAAATCCTACTGACCGTACTGTTAAACAGACTCAAGCGCCATCTGGGCCCATACTTGTCGGAAGAACAAGCAGGATTCAGACAAGACAGAAGTACGGTACACCAAATTCTAATACTCAGGCTGCTTGCAGAAAAAGCAAAGAGACAAGGGAAAAAATTATACAACTGCTTCATTGACTTCCAAAAAGCCTTCGACACAACCAAACATAAAATCATATGGGCTGTTCTCAAGTCATACGGGGTCGAGAACAAAATGATTACACTACTACAGAATATATATGAAAAAGCCCCATCAGCAGTACGAGTGGAGAAGGAAACAGGAGAATGGTTTCAAACCAGTATTGGGAGCAGACAAGGAGATCCTCTGTCACCACTACTGTTTATCACATATCTCGAACGAGTAATGGACAAAGCAATGCAGACCAATGATGGAATAAATATCAGTGGAACACTAGTGAACAAGCTACGGTTCGCTGATGGCATTGATGTCCTAGAAGAAGACTGCGACTCATTACATCAACAAATAGAACAATTAAGAGTAGCAGCGGAAGAAGCAGGACTAATAATAAATACAAAGAAAACAAAAACACTGGTATTCGGCGACAGAAACATTGAAAAACATGTTCAAATAGCAGGAAACACAATAGAAAATGTAGAGCAGTTCGAGTACCTTGGTAGTCTACTTACATGGGACAACAACTGTACTGATGAAATCAGGAGAAGAATAGGCAAAGCAATAGGAGCAATGGCTGCACTAAAAAGCATATGGAATAGCAAGAAAATAAAAATAGAAAACAAAATAAGGATCCTAACTACTTGTGTCTTCAGTGTACTATTATACGCATCAGAGACATGGACACTGAAGGAAGTCGATCAAAAGAAACTACTGGCGTTCGAAATGAAATGCTATCGAAGAATACTACGAATCAGCTGGAAAGATATGATAAGAAATACAGATATAAGGAAACAAATAGCAAGACAAGAGGCCATCATAGATAACATCAAGAGAAGAAAGCTGCGATTGTTCGGCCATATCTGTCGAACGAACGATAACAGGCTGATAAAACACACCGTATTCGCAAGAATCAACGGAAAAACACGAAGAGGACGTCCATGCAGAGAATGGATGGACGACATAATAGAATGGTGTGGACACAGCGGACAAGACCTCTTCCACCTTACGCAAGATCGAACGAAATGGAAAGAAATTATCCAACCAGCGGTTGGCCCCAACGGGCGATAAGCCTATGGGACATCATGAATCATGAATCATAATAATTTTCTGATGGAGCAAACAAATCTTGATAAATCATTTGGAAAAACACTATTAACACTGAGTGTTGTAAATATTGAACATAAAGAAAATTTAAACAATCAATCCAGTTCATTTGACGATGAAGCTAAAGCTTTTACTCAAGACAAAGAAATAATTGTCGCTAATAGAATTGAAACAAATGTTATTATTCATTTATCTCGTAAAAATGATATACCTATACCATCAAATATAATAAATGATCATGATTATGATATGGATACAGTAGATCATGCAATAGTAACAAGTCAACCATTAGCTAAATTACGAGAGAAAAAATATGGTCATTATTTACCAACATGGGAGCAACAACAAGAATCGTTCTATAAAACATACATTTGATATATTTAGTAATAGACATGAAAAATACATTTGTTGGTTGAACAACAAAAAAGAAAAAAATGGCAATGATAGTCTTGGTTGATAACTTCGCGAGAAGTACCAAGAAAGGACAAATTCAAATGGAAAAATTAATTTATGGTGCACATCGGGTTATCAAATAATGCAATTATCAAAAACAAAGAAACTTAACGATAATGAAGTTCACAAACATGCTCAACAACTTGAATTACAAAATGCATCTAGCTGCCAACCATCCTGGGCAACAACACAAATGAAAGAACGAAGTAAACATGAGATTGTAATACAAAATTTAACTTTATCTGCAGTTTATATTTGTCAACGAGATCAATCAATTAACTCATTCGAGAAATTAATATAAGTTAATTAAGGCTCTTAGTGTTAAATTGTTGCCAGCAGAGTTAGGTAGTGTTACATATCGAAATGATAAGGCAGCATTGCAATTTTTACGTCATGTGCTTCTTATTTACACGAAGAAATTCTTGAAAAAGTAAAACAGAGTCAATCAATTACTAAAAAAATTTAATAATTAAGAATAATGATGTTTTTAGCTGTTTAGGTTGGATGATTGATGAAAGCACTTCTCGAAATGTAAAAAACAGTCTCATAATCTATGCCAGATATTTCGGAAATGGTGAATCTAAAACAAATTTTTATGGAGTTTTGGGCTTAGATGGTAGTGATTCAATCGTAAATATAGCCAATGGAATTAAATTATTGTGGCGAAAAGACGATTTAAATCCTGAGAAAACATGTTGGCTTGCTGCTGATAATGCTGCTATATTTACTGGTATTAAGCCTTTGTTTTAAAAAAATCAACTTTGACTGTTGTAGGTGTCAATAACGGTGTTGTGGTCAAACTTAAACGTGATTATGATCTAGATTTTGTTGAACTAAATACATGTGCAGCACATTCGGCTGCATTAGTAGGAAACCAAGCTCGATTTAATAAAGGTAGCACCTATTATTTATACTTCTGTCCATTAACTAAAAAGTGTTTTTAGATGATTATGAAAAGCAAAAAAACATGATTTTATTTCAAAACTTAAAAACATTATAGGTCGAGTTTATCAATATTTTGCTTCAAGTGCAAATCGAACGTTTAAAACATAAATGTTGGCAAGATTTGTTGGATATTCCTGAATTAAATTTCAAAAGATTATTCAACATACGTTGAACAGCTATTCGAGATTCTATAAAATCCGTCATTTTCAATATCATACCAAGTCAATATTATTTTAATAGTTGTTTTATTTTATTAACATTAATTCTATCTTTTCTGTTGTAGCAGCTGATTTATTATCTTCAATATTAAATGATGATTTCTTGTTTATGCCTCATTTCCATCATGATTTACATGAATGTGTTCTAGGTAAGAAAATCTTATTTTTCAATGTGATCTTTTCGCTTTGATTATCGGAAAATTAACTAAAGTGTTACAAAATGATGATTTACCTTATTTAACTTCAATGAACGTATTGAATGAAAAAAAAAAACAAATATTAAATAATTGGCTTTCTCAAAAACAAAAATCAAAATGTATTTTAGGACCCTCGTTGAACAATTATTTAGATTCTACTATGAACAACAATTCTCATGGTGCATTTTAAATTGTCGTTTATGATCGTGATAAATCGTACAACGAATTTTTTACACATATTGATCGATTATTATTGGAATTGAATAAAAGATTCAAATCATCAAAAATACAACAATATTTTCTTGTCTTATGTGAACCTTATTATTTAATCAACAATAAAGATGAAGTAATGAAATCAAATTATGGACGACAAGAACTTGAATATATTCGCACAAAATGTAGAAATTTAAGTGGATTTAATATGGATAAATGTCGAAATGAATGGGAAACGTTAAAAATTTCATTAAATGATTTTGTATGTATTAATGAACAGCAAAAATCTAGAAGAATATTTTGGAAATCATTCATCTCATGGAAAGAAGCGATCGATGATTCTTTTCATGAGCAGTACAAAAATAATATTAATATTATTATCAATTTATTTGTTATCACCATTTAATTCAGCTGAATGTGAACGTGGTTATTAAATTTTTAATCGAATACAAACAAATGGACATTAACAAATAATGATTGATACACTTGATGTGATAATGACTATTCGTTTGCTTTTTCTTGATGATTTGAGAAGGTAAAATTAATGTGTTTCATTTAACTGCAAACAAACATCGCACTTCTTGTCTTATTTTAGTGATCGATGTCGAGAAATAATTCAAAAAGCTTATAACACATGGAGTGGACACGATGAACGTCGTCGAATTAATCGAACATAATTAATAACTGATGGACCAGATGAATATGTACTATCAAAACAGCTTCTTCCAAATACATGAAAGAGACAATTTACAACAATTGATAATTATCCTGTTAAACCAAAAAAACAAAAAGCCAAAGCTATAAAATCTACAAATCATTGTGGAAAAAGTATTTCTGCTGATGATTCAGAAGAAACACACGCTATTCAATGCTGCCATCAAAATGAATATTATGATAGAGTTGAAGATAATTGTCCTCGATGGTTATGCAATACCTGTCGTATCAAATTAGGAGTTTCGATCGAATCAACTTCAAGGTTTTGTGAAGACTGAATTGATATGCACGAAGAAGAACAATAATAACTTTTATATTATTTTTTTATTTATTATATACATATGATAGTAAAAATTAATTCAGAACATTTATTTAACCTAGTCAGATCAATTTGTGCACATCTTTTGTAACATAACTTTTTTGTATATTTTGTTTTTTGTACAAGTACTTATTTTTATCAAAAGATGGAAATATTAATAACTTTCTCTTCGTTTTTTATTAATCAATTCTTTGCTTTGGTACTTTGAGGTACTTTGATACGTAGAACAAAGTACCAGCAAATCCTTTGTCAATGAAAACAAATACTAAAATATACTTTGTTTCAGATTCCTATCGGAAACGCTGTGTCACAGTGACATCACACTTATACGAATTCAGTATTCACTTATCATTTTCTATTTCTTTCTCATTTCTATTTCCAATCGTTTTTGTCTTTTTGTCATCTAGTTTTATATGTAAACGTTGAGTTCATTTTGATCTATACAAGTTTTTCATTTCTTCTGAAATAAAGATCGTGTACAAGTACAGACTAAACAAACGTATATACATATATATATATGTAACATAATATAAATAAAGAGAAAAGAAAAGGAGAAGCCACAACATACACGCCCTCACACTCGAAACAGCCTTCACTTTCACATTCCTCTTTCCTCCACTATGCAAAGTCTACCGCCCGCAGAATAATAATTATTCCTTTTTTTTCGTCATCATTCGCCAAGGCTTTATTTCACCGTCCTTCACATCAATCATGAAGAAAAAGGAACACATATTGTATCATTCATATTATATCCGTGATTAATAAACAGAACAGAGCACAATGTCGATTGTAACTAACCTGTTCGAAGATCCTCGGCACGATCCTGTTGCCGCATTTCTACTACAAGTTTTCATTACGCTCATTCTATGCAAAGTATTCACCAAATTGCTGTCATTTATTCTTTTTGTTGGTGAGAAAGTGTGCACTTGTATGATTGTGTATGAATGATGCGTAAAACATTTTACTGCATATTTACAGGTTCCGGGATCGGCTTCTCAGCTTTTCCAGTGTTGGCCTCAATTTTGCAAAGGATGAATCTTATTACAACAACACTTGGTGAGTAAACCTCTCCCCCATAACGGAAGACCCCTTGAAAAAAAATTTGTCCAACGTAATAGAAGACACCCCATTTAGTTAATAATCTTTTTTTGAAAACTGACGACTTTAATTAGTGATTTTGCAGCCAAACATGTCTAGTTTGGGGGCTTTGAGCTGAAAAGCTCAAACCAGTTAGTTTAATACTATATCTGAGCTGTGAAAATCGTGAAAATCCGTTCTCAAATCTTCAAAACCGCTCCAGTTTTCTAAGAAACTCTTTTTAATTAAAAATTATAAAAATACGAGAGACATAATATGAGCATCCCTAAAATTTCTTTTTCCTTGAACATAATAGAAGACTACGGGTCTTTTATTGTAAACCGCGGGGGGGGGGGGGGGTATAAAAAAACAGAACTTTAGCATAAGATGCTAACAATTCGAACAAGATTTGTTTTTTTCGTTCTTGTAATATACGGTCGAGTAGACCATAACGAGGGGTGAGGATGATGCCAATTTTAAATTTCTAAACCAATTGAAAAGTATTTCAATGGATGGTTTTTTTCGAAGAAACGGCTAATTTTTTCGAAAATAAATTAGAGTTTTACATTTTTGTTATTGTGAATCATTTAATTCGTCACACGATACTTTTAAGATAATTCGTGGACTTCATGAGAAAAAGACACAGGCTTAGAGAGTTCTCCCGAAATCTGTCACATTTTCTTTTCGTAATAAGTAAATTAAGCAATAGTCTCTATTCACTTCAAAGACAGTTATAACATTATATATTTTCTCTTATCCGAAGAAAAATAGAACAAGTAATCTTACAGCAATAGTTCTTAGTTGTCAAAAATGGAACACAAGTGCTCTTTATGTGAGAACAGTTTTCCGGAAGAAATTAATTCTACTTCTACTTGAAGACAAAATACTTCTATTTTACGATAATTTAGTCTTTTCCGATGAGAAAATAATAAATTCTGTAATCCTATCCAACTTTTCTGGCTATAAGAATTGAGATCATTTTTTCTAGATCTTAAACATTATCAAAGGGGAATTAAATGCGCGTCATGTTTTTATGCGTGTTTTTCTAAATGGTGAAGAAATTTCAATGCATGACACCAATGGAAGAAGACGTTTAAAAATTGAGTTCTCTTTTAACGGCAATTGAATGTGGTGCTCATAGTCAGTTCGAAAAGCTAGGCCAAATAATCTATACTTTGGAAACACCTTTTTGATCAAATATTATTCTTAGTCTTTCTTCGTACTATGCTTTTTTCCTTGATTATAATTATCATCTTTATTTGGCGTTCGAAATAAATTTTCATGCATTTAAATGATGTCGATGATTAAAATTTTTCCAGCCGAAAAATATGCCAAACAAAGTTTGTTAGCGTAGCCCCTTTGGGGCTGAAATGTGGAACTCATATATGCTTTCTAGCTCATTAAGCTAATACAAAATATGTAAAGTGATAAATCTCTCTTATACTATAGCTGTTTTGCAGAATAATCGATATCCAGCATAATGACTTCTCTAATTTCTGCATTTCGAACAGAGTGTTTTTTTTCTGGGAGCATTCTATTTTTGGTTGTATTCTTGCTATTCGCTCATTATTTTTTCTTAATTTAAGATTCTTATTATTATAATAATTGAAATAATTGACAAATAAGTCTGTTTTACATATTCATGATATCTACAGCAGATCTTACGCACTATCATATATATAAATCAACTCAAAAATAATGATATGCATTATTTTTCAAAATTATTGCTTCATCAATTGAAAAAAAAACTCTAGAAAATCTGACGCCTATTACTCTCGATTGCTAAGGTCTGTGATGGAGAGGGGAGGAAGGAGCCGCGAAAACTTGATCTTAAAACTTACGCTCACTATTTTCTTCAAAAATATATGTGTGTTCCACAAAAGAAATGCTTACTTTTGATGTTTAATGCACATCATTTAGGATCGATGGAATCAAATTAACTCAGCTATTGAGCTGAGAAACTAGATCAATTTATACAACTCACAAGAGCATATCAATATAACTCAGCCTCTTTGTCTTGAACATCTGAAATTGAAATAATTCTAACTTACTCGTCAAAACCTACCA